ACGGAACGAGCTCGACATTTGGGAATGAGCGTATGGCAATAGAACCGAGGGCATTTTGAACGGCAGGATAGAATAGTTTTGGAACGTTGTGGTTCGGTAACAGAACACAGCAGAACTTTTTTCAAAAATGAGGTCAAGTTCAAAGAAGAACAGAATGTTTGGAAGGGCACGATAGAAAGGAACAGAACAGTTTGTCAAAAGTGTGGAACTGAGACGTTACTGTTAGTTGACATTAGTGGCATTGCAAAAGAAAGCATTATAATCAAAGAAGAACAGAATGTTTGGAAGGGTACGATAGAAAGGAACTTTGTCAAAATTGTGGAACTGAGACGTTGCTGTTAGTTGACGTTATTGGAATTGCAAAAGAAAGCATTATAACAAGACATCGCATTATTGCAGTCAGTTATTCGAGAACTTTTGGTGCACGTTTCACAAGTTCACCGAACTTCCCGGTACCGTCAAATGGAAGCGTTGCATCGCGCATATCTGAGTTCGAAAAACGACCCGGTGCACCGAACTTACTGCAAATTGCGTGTGCATTGAGCGGCATCTCACAAAGAACCGATGTAAGGAATTGAGTTTTGTGTTCACTCTTCGAATATACCTCCACTGCATAATCATCGAAGAGCATCATGAAATTTTATCGTTTCAAATTAAGGTGACAGCAATGCGCTCACCAATTGGACCAATGTCACCACGCTCATCGGTCTATCGTACGAAGCCAATAATTCACGCAGATTTCGGTGGTATATCGCCTAAACCGCACACCGAAACCAGTGGAAGTCCAACATCCGTATTTGAATTTCCACCATCAAAACAACTTTTCGATGTAAAGGTTCGTTAGTTGGTCATCGTTTAGTAGAAACATTTCCACGATTGACTAAATCGCAATTTTTTAATTCTTTCACCACGTATAGCATTCCCTACAATTCGTCGTATTATTCTGAACCGATTGTTTTATACCTTCCCATTCATTTCATCATGGTACATACTGTAATATTGATGGTACCTTATTTAGAATTTCCAATTTAGCTGTTATCAAGATTGTTACTTTTTGATTTATTATCAAGTATTTGTCCTATTCCCTTGAAATCAAACTTCATCATTCCGTACGTTCGCGTTTTCTGCAGGCGATTATAGGATGATAAATACTAAAGAAGTTTGTTGAACATATCTCAAAAATACCTAACAAAAGTTCTTTGAAGCACTCCATACTCTTCTTTGACCGTATGACGAACCGTCATTATTCAGCCTGTGAAAAGTCTGCGTACGTCAATACGCATTCGAAAATTTATTACTTTGTGAGGACAGATCAGAAAAGAATCAGAAAATTGATCCATCAGTCAAGAAGTTTGTTGCCTCTAATCTATCAGTTGTATCGAAGGTGTCAACTCACTGTGATGCAACAAACATTGCAAACACTATTGAACAATTACGGGCGAATCAGAAGGGAAAAAATAAATCAACAACGATTTGCGCACCTTTTCAATATCTTCTGATACTCTCGGATTCCCCTCAAGAGGAATTTCCTCCCATTGGAACAAATTGAATGTCACTAGCAGATACATTTCTGTACTAATAAAACAACACATGCAATAGTCTCAATTCATGTCACTGAAATGTTTTTTCTTCATATTCATAGAACAAGAACATCAAATGAGAATGAATGAAATGAATTACGCGGTAATGAACCATGAAGTGAGTAATTTTCGCAGTTGGTGAACGATGAAAGGATAATAAATAGTATTGATGTGTCAGTCTTATAAGATATGAAATAAACTATTAGGCGGAGTGTCTCTATGGTCTCTTTCAACTGCAAGTCGCCCTTCGGAAATATGCATTTGGTCGTTAACTTTGTCATTCATATCGTTTCATTCATTCATTTTTTTATCGTTTCAAACTCCTTGCGTCTCTTTGAGTAATCAGTCAGAAGCTTGCATATTTTGTGTGTGTGTTGGTGCTGGTGTATGCAACGATACACGTATCCCGCGTTCGATTAGTGGATGCAATAGCAGCGGATTGATTGAATTCGGAATGAGCTGTTGAATTCTTTGCACAATTAACATGCAGACGATTTGAATTTAAGCAACTCGTGCTATATTTTTCTTATTTTTGGCTCATTGTTACTTCGTTATGTTGTCTTTCGGCCAATCATTCTTCTGGTAATCGTTTGCAAAGATACTTCTGAGGATATTTCTCTGCGTTTGTTTCGACGAAACTGCTGAAACTGCTGATGTCGTCAGCAATGCGTTTGATCTTATTCCTATTCCGTTTATGCAATCGAACGTTTTCAAATCTGACACTGTGAACAGTGAAAGTCACATTGTCTCGAATCAGGATGTTGACACGAATCAGCAGTGATTCTAGTGTCTATTAAAGTAATTGAAATTAATGTGCACTCATCAGATATTCTTTCTGTTCTACGTTGAATAATTCAGTAAGCGTTGCAAACATCCGATGTGTGTGTGCCGCATCGGATGCTTCGATATTAGTAATTGATCGATACGAAATAAGTTGTTTATTATTGTGTATTGCTTGGGAGAGTTCGAAGAGGTTGAACGAACCAAACGGTTGCAACGAAGACGGCCGTTCCAATTTGCTATGATACCAACCAACGGAGGGTTGGCTACTGCTCGGACGGTTGTTGCACATTTCGAATAATAATAATAGCGATGAGATGAGAGCGATCGCTGCTCTTTATGCCTACATTGCAACAGTTATTTCCTTAATTCATTCACTTCATATTCTGTCTTGCATGGATTTTTATTATTCACAGCAACCGACCTCTTTGTACACTGCTTCAGTGTCTTCATGCTGCGATAATCGAACGCCTGAATTTCGACTCTCATCCATTAATCATCAACGAATCGCAATTAATATTGCTATAGTACATTATGCGTACTCATCAAAACGTTGAACCTTTCATTGAACGAAATTTAGTGATTTTCGTTCATCATTGACGATAATGATAAGTCAGCAGTGAACTGTGACCAACATTCAACTTGATACGTATTCGTTGACATTATCTCATAAGAGAGCGTATTCTTGAAGTTATTCCATGATGTCGGGTGAGTATAAAATTTTCACAGATGCGAAGCTGACTCGTGTTGTACCTCATTCTGTCGGTTTGCTGAGTTCTGTGATGATGAAAAAATGCAAAAATGCAAATAATTAATATAATATCTCACAGTGATGAATCCTCTAAAGGCGATGATCTCACAAAAAAACCTCTACATAATTTGTAATAATCACTACATTATTTTCTACTTCAACTATGCAACGACTCTAATCGATATGCCACAAATATTATTTTATAGCAACAATACATTTGAAGCGTGTCTTATACAGCAAGCAACGCCATAGTATTTCTAATATGACAACGTTCCGAACGTATCAGTTTTGATATTCTGAGGTGCTGAACGCCTCAAGAGTTGTTATCAATTACTGCGAACAATAGTGCCGATATGCAATCTCATCAATATTCTATTATCGCAGGAAAATGTGAAATAATTTTGTTGTCACAAATATTCACATGAATGGAATTGAGTGTCGTCCATTCAATAAGCAATGTTTACATTCTCTGGTATTTCTAATCTATTCACGTGTCCATTTCGACAGTGCTCACATGTGAGTTCATTCTTATCAATTACGCACTATCAATTCATTTTTGCGTTCCCATGCGAGGACACACTCGACGAATGCACTTTACACCATCAGTCTTCTTTCATCGCATTTTAGTTCTCATTATTTCCGTCATGTGCACCTCCATTAATGATGTGTCTCTATGACACTCCTTTTCAAAAACATTTGCTTTCAGCATATTGATTGAAACTGCCAATGCGATAGATTATCCCCAAAAATACATTTGAAGTGAAGAATATATTTGCTTGTTACTTATTGAATTCACTGATTGAATCCAACAATCGAATAGAAGTGAAATTCAATCGCTAATATCTAAACGTCGAAATATTCTCTTTTGCCAATTCCCTTCAACAAACATTCAATGCAAAAAATTTTTAATTTAAAAATCCACGGACTATCCTCTCATGCAATAATTACACTCGTGTTGTTCACTGAATGATAGAACAGTGTGTTACTTTGTTGTAGGTGGTGGATTTCTTTGATGTTGATGAATGCATCAGTTTGCAGCAACCATTTATTATGAATGCGTACTGCGCAAAAGTAACTTTATATGGTGTCTCGTGAAAGTCAACTTGTATAATGCACTTGTCAATTGAGATATATATCAACTCGAGAAAAACTTTCTGAATCTGCATTAATTGAATGTTTTTCTGTGATTGACGTCCAGCAAACAAACAAACCACAAACGAACTCTGCTAAATGCATCTCGTGCCTAAGGGGCATAAACTCGAAGTACTCTCGGTTCTTCCGTGCAATATTCCGAAAGCGTAACGGAACATAGATACTGCCCACAGAATCGCTATTGGTCTATCCAGTGGCATAATCGAGACTTTTTCTAGGATGGGAGGAAGGGCGCAAAGTGGTCTGGTGCCAAAAAACCGCTGAATTTTTGGGTGGATTTTTTCACTTTTATTTTTTCCTCTTTTCCTCTCCTTTATTTCTTTTTTTCCACTATCTTCTCCTTACCCTTTTATTTTCCTTCTCGTTTGCTCTCCTTTCTCCTCCTCTCACACCCTCCAGAGGTGCGTCCTTTGAGCCCTCCCCCCTCACTATTTGGCTACGCCTAAGATTTTAATCTTACAAATCAAATTTTTTGGAGAACTTTTGGGTGAGATTTTAGAGATTTCTACTTACAAATGAATTGAGAAATCGGCTAAAAGTATTAATCGATTTCATTGTATCTACATTAAAATTTCGATGTTGTATGGTGCTAAAAAAATCGAGTGCCAAGAAAAATTTTCATGCATCGGGTAATTGTTTTATTGATGCGTGAATTGCAGCAGCTTGCATCTGTTAATGCAAACCATTGAACACAATCACACATTCGAATGAATGTCTGAAGAGTGCAACAGAACGCTTCATCATTTAATTGTTTTCTTCATGTTGTCACAATTTTTATGAACATTTTCTTTGTAATTGACATTTGTTGCGCTCAGCTCGAAGAGGAGTGCAAATATTTGCTTAAAGAAGAAGTCAAATGAATAGATAAAGCGTTTTCGAATGGAATGGTGTCAATAAGAGAAGCGAAAAGATTTGTGTTTGTCTGCTTTAAAGTGTCATCGGTGTTCACTTATTGCGCACCTGCCAAAACAATGAGAATGCTTTCCAATGTAAAGTCACTGTCGACGTTCGCTATTGATGCAAGCGTACCATTATCAATTATAGATGTTGTTATGTTACGTTATTTGATCCTACCAGAGTGTCATATTCGATTTCTGGAAAAGAATTCCCAGTTGTTTCTTCAATCGGAATAAATGAAACGTTGGCATGTGGGTGACATGTGGCTTTTATACAAGCAAGCTTGCACAGAGTAGTTTTTATCGTGTCATGAACGTCATTTTTGATCAGTTGCACTTTGGAAGGGTATGATTTGATTTTATGCAAGCGAACTGACTGCAAGTACCATTTGCCGCTTTTAATTA